TCTCAAATAGCCGTAAAATTAAAGTCTACTATCAAACTACGTCTGGACTCAGAACCAAATCTGAATCCGTCCGCATTTTAAGCTCGCAATTGGAATACGACTGCTTCGCATTAACTGAATCTTGGCTCAATTCCAACTTTTTTGTCGGCGCTGTTTGACGTGGTGTATTAATAGCTACCCGTCGCCATCTTCGGGCTGCTTTCTCTCCGCTCTTCGATGAAAATTCTATCTTGGACCAGATATGAGTAAAGTGGCAGGGCGCATGTGGTGTGCTATACATTTGTGTGTCATACATTCCGCCGGGCAGCTCTGATTATTTGTATAAGGCCCATGTTGACAACATTCTTGAACTTCAAGCGAACATAAGTGATAGTCAACTCTGTGTTCTAGGCGATTTTAACTTAAACAATATTTCCTGGAGCTATTTGGATAGTAATAATTTTGTCAGTCCATCTAACGTTAATAGCGTTTTGGAATCATATTTTATTGATAATCTGCTATGCACTTAATTATATCAAGTCAGTGTTTTTTAACGAATTAGGCCGAATTGTGGATTTGATTTTCGTTAGCTATAATATTAGCTTTGAGCTTTCGCATGCATCTAGCTACATCTCTCCTTCAAAAGCACCATACTCTATAAGTGTTGGAAATTGGATTTTTGAGTTACCTACTGGCATCCAGAGGGTAGCTTTTAATTACTCTCTTTGTGATTGTACGGAGTTAAATAATCATTTGATAGTTTTAGATTGGTCTCAGCTTTTTGGGAAGAAGGATGTAACTAGTTGCTTCAATATTTTTAAGTCTAACATTTACGATGTTTGGCTAAACAATATTCCACAATTACACTCTAAAACTAAGCTACCTTGGTTCTCTAAACTCAAAGTTCTCAAACGCTCAAACGACGCTAATGTGCGCGAACGTTATGTGTTTTATAGAGCTAAATTTAACAAGCTGAATAGAAATCATAGAAATTACATACACAATGTTGAAAGTAACATAAAAAGAAATCCTAAGTTTTTCTGGAGTTACATAAAGTCGAAAAAGGATTGCTCAAATATTCCCGCATCAGTTCAACTAGATGGTGTTTCAGCTATCTCTATTTTGGATGGTGTTAATCTTTTTGCTGACTTTTTCTCGTCTAATTTTATTTTAGATAACCCGGATAGTGTTTTTCCAGAGGACCCTTCTTTAAACTCAAATAGTTCTCTCAACTTCGGTAACTTATTTTTGTCTAATGAGGATATTGTTAATAGCATAACTAATTTAAAGTATTCCACTAATACTGACGCCGCTGGCTTCTCTCTTGTTAAAAAGCTGCCCCTCTCTTATCGAGCCTTTGAGACACATATTTAATATGTCATTGGCTGATGGGGTGTTTCTCGATGACTGGAAACTGGCTTTCATTACGCCGATTCTTAAAAGTGGTAATAAAAATGATATAGCGAACTATTTGTCGATTTCCAAGCTCACTTCTGTCTCTAAGCTGTTCGAATGTATCGTGAAGGACAAAATATACTGTGCTACTAAGCACTTGTGATATCCTAATCAACATGGACTTATCCCGCGCAGATCAACGGTAACTAACTTAACGGTATTTACGGAGGATTCTTTTGCAACCTTGCAAAAGGGATTCCAAATTGATGCTGTCTACACGGATTTCTCTAAGGCCTTCGATAGGGTATCTCACCGTATCTTGATAGCTAACCTGGCGAGACTAGGCTTCCAATCTGCTTTCTTGAACTGGATTATATCGTATCTAAGTAACAGGCGCTGTGTTGTCGTAATTGAAAAGGTATCTTCCCGTTCGTTCATTGCTTCCTCATGTGTTCCCCAGGGCAGTATCTTGGGTTCTTTATTATTTGTGCTCTTTATTAATGATATTTTCTCTTGTTTCTGTAAGAGTAACTTCTTGCTGTATGCTGATGATCTGAAGAATTATTATGAAATTAGTTGCCCGTAAGATTCACTAACTCTCCCTCAGTAACTCTAATATTAGTAAATGTTATTATGCCTCCTATGCTAAGTTATAAAGACATCTACCTATTTCCTACTGTATCTCAAATGTGCCGCTGAAGTCAATTTGTGAATTTAAGGACTTGGGTATCTACTTTGATACTGTAGAAAATTAATTATATCAATATTGGGTTAGCAACATTTGGTTAGCAGCATTGTATTTAAAACAGTTAACTTTGACAGAACTTAACTTAAAGAAACTTTAACTTTGCATATAAATAAGTACCTATTGTAACACTGAAGAATGAACGATAAGTCAGTATTAAATCGACCGCCGAGACCGTCATTACGGGACAAAACTCGTGTGTGTAATTATATTTTTTATATGGTGCCGAAACCCGGGACGGTTGTGTAATCAAATCGTTAAGCGGATTATACACTAACGTGCAGGTTGAGTTAATACATATAAGCGAAAAAAAGCTTTATTAAAGCTATTAACGAACAAGTAAAAAAGTCTAAGTTCGGGCGGAGCCGAACATTAAATACCCGGCGCAAGTATTAAATATATGTTTTTCGCCTTTCCGAAAGCTACCGCTACATGGTAAACCGAGGTGTATCCATTTTGAGTAAATTGGCGTCCTTAAATTTCGAAATATTGAAGTTTCAAGCATATCTGAAATTTACTGTTATATGAAAAGCGGCCGTAATTTTAGTTCGATTTCAATAAGTTTCAACGTTTTGCTTCTATGTGGCAAGTACAATAACCACACCGAGTTTGGTACAAATTGGTAGAACGGTTACCGAGATACATATATGTGATCATAAGTGGGCGGTGCCACGCCCATTTTTCAAAATTGTATCCTAAACGTATTTCTTGGTAACGAATTGTTGCAAGCATCAATTTTGAATAAATTAGCTGCAATAATTACTGATTTATCGAAGATTTCGTATTTCTCTAAATTACCGTTATATGGGATTATTGTCCTATTTTAAAAATTTTCGGCCATTTCGTATGTTATACCAAGGTTAACAACTGTGCCAAGTTTGGAAGAAATTGGTGCAGCGGTTACCAAGATATACACATGTAAACATAACTGGGCGTGGCTACGCCCATTTTCCAAAAATTTATAATATTCTTATTTTTCGTCTAAGACTTATTGTAAATATCAATTTTGAGTGAATAATCTTCAGTAGTTACTAAAATATCGCAGTATTCGTATTTCTGAAAATTACCGTTATATGGGAAGTGGGCGTGGTTATTGTCCAATTTTTAAAATTTTCGGCCATTTAGTATGCTGTATTAAGGCCAACAACTGTGCAAAGTTTGGAATAAATTGATGCAGCGGTTACCAAGATATACCCATGTAACCATAAGTGGGCGTGGCTACGCCCATTTTCAAAAAAATTTTAATATTCTTATATTTCGTCTAGAATGTATTATAAATATCAATTTTGAGTCAATTATATTCAGTAGTTACGAAACTATCGCAGTTTTCGTATTTCTGGAAATTACCGTTATATGGGAAGTGGGCGTGGTTATTATCCGATTTTTAAAGTTTTCGGCCATTTAGTATGCTGTATTAAGGCCAACAACTGTGCAAAGTTTGGAATAAATTGATGCAGCGGTTACCAAGATATACACATGTAACCATAAGTGGGCGTGGCTACGCCCATTTTCAAAAAAATGTTAATATTCTTATTTTTCGTCTAAAATTTATTACAAATATCAATTTTGAGTGAATTATCTTCAGTAGTTACTAAAATATCGCAGTTTTTGTATTTCTGAAAACTACCGTTATATGGGAGGTAGGCGTGGTTATTGTCCGATTTTGCCCATTTTCAATACCATCCGTCCTACGCCCGAAAGAAGTGCACATACCAAGTTTCGTTAAGATATCTCAATTTTTACTCGAGTTATCGTGTGCACAGACGGACAGACGGACGGACGGACGGACGGACAGACAGACAGTCACCGCTTAATCGATTTCTCTTTTCATCCTGATCATTTATGTATACATTTGTCTATATCTATCTCGATTCGTTTTGCCTGTTACAAACAACCGTTATGTGAACAAAGTTATAATACCCTTGTGCACAAGTGCGCTCGGGTATAAAAAGTGACTTATTTGAATAAATCGTAGCGAAATCTAATAACTAGAGCTCGGAATTTTGGTGAAAAATGGGTGCCGTGTATCGTTCCACGTGTCGCGTACAAGTCACGAAAGAACAGAATGCAGCAAAGAGAACGCCATGAAGAGGCGTCAACGTCAGCGAATGTAATAGGAGCAGTGGCCCTCAATACCATTGAATTCAGCGAAGGAGAAATATTTCTTCAAACAGCAAAAGCTGTCGTTAGCGAAATTAACAACTGCAGCAGCGTAATGTCGCGATTAATAATGAACAACGTTAGCCAGCGAATATACATTAGCGAAAAATTAACCAGCGTTCTTAACCTACCTACATGCGGATTTGAGAAAATGAAAGTTATGGCATTCGGTGACAAAAAACAAAATAAAAAAGCGACTAATTTTACAATTGTTGAGCTTTCACTGCAAAGCCAGTATAACGAAAAAGCGATACAAATTAAAGCGATTGTAGTGCCAAACTATGCGTACATATTTTACTCGTGCCAAATATTAAAAACAAAAAATTTAAGCACCTAGCAGTAGGAATAGCGGACAATAAAATTAGCAATGTAGAATTAATAGAGGGTATTAACATTTTAATCGGACAAGACAGTTATTGGAAATTGAATACAATACAATTACAATAACAAATTATGCTGAAGTTTGTGAGGAAACGTTTGACATAACAAAATTTTGGAACCTAGAGTCTCTTGGCATAAGTAGCAGCTTAGCGTGCGAAGAAAAATTAATAAAAAAAAAATATCCGAAATAAAGAAATTAAATTACCGTGTCGTAACCTTACCGTGGAAAAACTCTAGCGGAACATTGCATACTAATAAAGACATAGCACTTGGGAGATTACGTAGTTTACCAAATAAATTACTACAAACTAATGAAAAGCTAGTCGAGTACGATCTGTGTATGAGAGAACTATTACAAAGCGGTGTGGCAGAACAAGTCAGTGAGGTATCAGGTGGCATGCGGGTTTATTATATGCGTCATAAGCCAGTGTATCGAGAGGATAAAACTACGACAAAAACGCAAATAGTTTTCGACGCCTCTTCGAGCGAGCCGGGACTTATGTCTTTGAATGACCATTTAAGCGCAGGCTACAATCTTATAGCTGATCTTACAAAAACTTTGCTGAGATTTCGGTCGAATGCTATAGCGGTGATAGCAGATATAGAAAAGGCTTTCCTACAAATCTCAATAGCGGAGCAAGATCGTGACTCACATCGGTTTTTGTGGTATGAAACGGTGCCGAAAGAAAACGAGCTATTGCCAAAAATAGTCGAATATCGAATGGCGCGGGTGACATTTGGCACAACTTCGAGTCCTTTCTTGCAATCAGCGACAATACAAAAACACCTTATTGTATCTGCGCAGCAATATGGTCCCATATGCGACAAGCTGAAGAAATTGTTTTATGTTGACGATTTAATAATGAGCGTGTCCAGTCACGAAGAAGCTAAAACAACCTTCATTCAAGCAAATGAAATAATGGCAGCGGCGAAATTGAATTTGAGCAAATGGAATTCGAATGACGTTCGGCTATGAAAGTTTTTCAAAACCGAGGAAACAAAAGAAGCGAAAAGCCAAACATTTTTAGGCATCGATCGCTATGCAGGGAGCGATGAAATCAGCGTTAATGTAGCGAGTAGCAACGCGTATTTTCAAGCCTTAAGACCAACAAAGCGAAATGTCATGAAGGCTATGGCAAGAATTTATGACCCATTGGGAATGTGAGGGCCCTTTACGGTGCGAATAAAAATAGTTCTACAGAACATATGGAGAGAGAATATCGAGTGGGACCATACGCTAAGCGGAGACATATTGAGTGAATTTCAATGCTGGCAAGAAGAGCTGAATTTCCTTGCTGAATTTAAAATGCAACGAAGTCTCTCACAGAGCGAAGGAGTTAGAAACGAGCTTCACATATTCGCCGATGCCAGCCCGAAAGCCTCAACCTCAGGTTGTGTTGATGCTTGCAGTGCGCACATCGCGGATAAATGCATCCAATGTGCGTTAATTGAATTTTTGATAAATGAGGCTAAATTACTATATGTATATGTATGTACATACATACAAGTAAAATATAAATAAATTTAAGTAACACATACATAAGAAAACCTAAGTCATAAGTATTTCAATTGCATCATCCGCATCTTTCCTTTCCATGTTTACGCTTTGAGTACAAAATCACTTATGAGCCGCTCACCGTCTGTAGCAAACGACAGCGAGCATGTTGGCGCACATGTGCGCGGATATGTTCGTCGTGTGTAGCCATCGTAAGACAAATTGCAGCGAGAGGAACTATAATGTGGCGAATACTGCGGCAACACAAAGCGAACAACGAGAAATAGGCAGAATGTTCGAGGAATGACGTAGAATATTCCACCAGGGAAACGTCAAGTTGGATGAACACTGCGAACAGAGAGAAAAAGAGAATGAGCGATGAACTTCAGAACGTTCGAGAGTTGCCATGAGTGCGAGCACAGGTATATAAGAGCCACGACACAGCGGAGCAAGCTACAAGTAAAGTGAGTTGCGAATAAGCAAGCTATAAGTTTAATTGTGGTAACAAGTTTTGTAAAGCGTTGTTATTGCTTTAACAAGTATTGTAAAGTGTTTTTACTGTAGTAGCTAGTATTGTAAATTGTTTGTTGTACAATAAAGTTAATTGTACTACAATTTGGTCATCGTTAGCATTTATTTAACAATCCAGCGATACAAACCGAAGGATTTGGGAAATCCCTCAAGGTTTCGAAGATAATCGTAACAATTGGTGTCAGAAGTGGGATTGTTAAATAAATCCCAGAGGAGAAACTTCCAAAAATGGCAAACATTCTGGACTTAAAGATTGAGGAACTCAAACAGGAGTTGTAAAAGCGTAATTTGGTCACCTCCGGAAGAAAAGTGGAATTGTTATCCCGGTTGCGGGAGCCTATTGAAGCAGAAGGCATCGACGTGGACAAATACGACTTCCATGGTAAACCCGACGATACATCCGCAAAAGACGAACAGAAGGATGAGGCTGCTTGTTCGTCGAAGGATGTGCAGCAGACATCCGGGAAGGTTGAAGAACAGCAAAAGGCTCCAGGTTCACCAACAGCTATGGACATGAACACGTTATTGGCTGCAATTTCATCCCAGCTAGAAGCACAAAAAACATACTTGTCATCACAGCTGGATGAAAAGATCACGCAGCTTCAGGAGTGTTTAGTCAGAGACAATGCGCAACTCAAAGAAAGACAGGACAAAATCGAAGGAAAACAGGATAAAATCGAGGAGCGGAAAAATAAAATCGAAGTGCTTATTAAGGAAAAACAGGACAAAGTCGATGCTAAGGTGGACGAGTTGGAAGGTCGTCTTCGTGATTTGCAGTTGAATCGTCCAGCTAATTCGACGAACGCTCCCAAGGTAAAGACTCCATCCTTTGATGGCACTATTCCTTTCCAGGTCTTTAAGCTCCAGTTCGAAAAGACGGCTACAGCAAATCGTTGGAGCATGGAGGATAAATCCGCTGCGTTATTCGTCGCATTGAAAGGACCTGCAGCGGAAATCTTGCTGACTATTCCCGACTGTGAAAGGAACAATTACGATGCGTTAATGGATGCCGTGGAAAGACGTAATGGTAGCGAGCACAGGAGACAGATTTACCAGATGGAGCTGGAGAATCGCTGCCAGAAATCCAACGAGACTTTACAGGAATTCGCCTCTGAGATTGAAAGGTTGGCTCATTTGGCAATTGGAGACGCATCTGGTGAGCACCTTGAAAGGGTAAAAGTCCAGAGGTTCATCAACGGAATGCGGGACATGTATACCAAGCGAGAGACGTACGCGAATTCAAATGCAACATTTGCTGAAACGGTCTCGTATGCTCAGACACGTGAAACGGCGGCGCTCCTAAGTAGACCAGCCTACAAAGCCCATCGAGTGGAAGTGGAAACACCGTACGAGACAAATGAAATGCTGAAGAAGCTAATCCAACTGCTGGGCGAGAAAAAGCATGGATCTGGCAAATGTTTTAAATGTGGAAAGCCAGGCCACTTCGCCACAACAATTCAGCAGCACGCAAACGCAGGGCTGAGGGGGACGAATCCAACTCCAATCAGTCGTTAAACTTAAACGAGCCAGCAAGAAGGGCCGCGTGCTGGCTCCAGAAGTTGAAGGGCCCATAATCTCCGTCTCACAAATTGGCCGGAATGCGAGCAACCTCACTATTGGTGGATGTGTGAATGGGCAGGAGCGAGTGCTGACAGTGGATACTGGAGCGTCACATTCCATTATTCGACCTGATGTGACTACTTTTTATGTGAAGCCACTACCTGGAGCAAAGCTGCAGACTGCAACTGGTGAGCTAACCCAAGTGTTAGGAGAAGTACTATGCGAGGTAATAATCGACGGGTTGACTTCGTACACGAAGTTTATTGTGGCAGACATTGTGGATGAAGTCATCATCGGCGTGGATTTCCTACTTGGGCGAGGCATGAAGATTGACCTCCAGGGAATGATCCTAGCCTATGGCGACAGGAAAGTGCCACTTAGGGTTGGTTACGACAACCAGTGCTTCAGCAGACGGTTGGTCTTAGAGGAAGTGCCGAAGATTCCACCAGAAACGGAAGTGGTTAGTTGGGCAGAGGTTGACAGTGATGGAGACGAATTGGTTTCGTCAGGAGAAGGAAGTGGTTCACCGATACAGGAAAAGCGTGACGGTTCCGCCAGCTCAGTGAAAAAGAGGCAACAAGGAAGTGGTCATGGCGAGCCAGGCAGTGTTTCCGGCAGGAGGAAAGCCACTGAACCACGTTGCAATGGTGATACGCCGGTGGCCGGAAATGGAAGCGGCTGTGGAAGCAGTAGGCGCACTTTGAAGTGTCCCAAAAGAGGTGGTGGCAGTTAAGCCGGAAGCTAAGGGTGAGATTATATATGTCCGGTCAATGAAGTAAGCATCGGCGGAAGAGCGAGATACGAAACGACGGCGGAAGCTTCAGCGTAAGGATCCGGATGTAGAAAGATGTGCTAAAGGCAGTGTAGCACGAAGGCGGGAGTCTGGGTGTCATGGACAGATGATGCGGCATAGATCTAGCGAAAAGGGTGCCCACGAGAAGAGACATGGTCTGGTCACCACCAGTGGCCGGCAGAAGCACGACCATGTGAGTTGGTGCACTCCCGGAGATAAGCCGGAAGCAATGTCCAGTAACGCATTGTGGTTGTACATGTCGCAGCAGAAGAAAAGCTTTACTCTAAGAAAAGACTTGACTGGAAAGATCCGTTTAAGATTGACAAACGGCTGAAAGACGCAGTGGATCGAATCCAGTCAATGGGGAGACCGAGGACCAAGATGAAAGTGGTCCACTTGGAAAGACTTGCAGCGGTTGGAGCGGCAAGTGTGTCTGATCGGGACGATCAGACTTAGGTGGAGGGCAGTGTGGCGAATACTGCGGCAACACAAAGCGAACAACGCGAAATATTCAGAATGTTCGAGGAATGACGTAGAATGTTCCACAAAGAGAAACGTCAAGTTGGATGAACACTGCGAACAGCGAGAGAAAGAGAATGAGCGATGAACTTCAGAACGTTCGAGAGTTGCCATGAGTGCGAGCGCAGGTATATAAAAGCCACGACACAGCGGAGTTGGAGGGTTAGAAGTCAGCAAGCTACAAGTAAAGTCAGTTGCGAATAAGCAAGCTATAAGTTTAATTTTGTTAACAAGTTTTGTAAAGCGTTGTTATTGCTTTAACAACTATTGTAAAGTGTTTTTACTGTATTAGCGAGTATTGTAAATTGTTTGTTGTACAATAATGTTAATTGTACTACAATTTGGTCATCGTTAGCATTTATTTAACAATCCAGCGATACGAACCGAAAGATTTGGGAAATCCGTCAAGGTTTCGAGGATAATCGTAACAATAACAACAAATTTTGTATGTTCAAAAAATAGAGTGAGCCCATAGAAAAGTCCAAGCGTAGCGGCGAGCTTACATTACCTAAGCTGGAGCTCACTGAAGCCTTTACAGCAGCAAGACTAAAACAATTTCTAATTGATGCACTGGACTTCGAAGTGCACTCAACGACCTTGTGGACTCACTCAGCTATTGCACTCAATTGGATCAATGGACAAGGCAAGCAGATAAAGCCCTATGTAAAAGCGCAGTTAACGAGATAATTAAGATTACAAATATAAACGATTGGAGACATTGCCAAGGAAAAACAAATCCAGCTGATCTCTTAACACGAGGAGTGAAAGCTAAGGTGTTAGTCGGTTCAACCGTATGGAAACACGGACCCATCTGGCTGGGAGAGTCAAAATGGCCAGAGGAGTTCTTCGTCGACAAATTAACTAACCTGCTGTTAAATTAGAGCGGAAAATAAGCGCTCAGGATCTGGAACGGCTGCTTTAGCAAACTCAAGCGGCTCTTAAGAGTAACAGCGTACATATTACGATTCACACGAAACTTAAAAACAAACGCGGCGATTAGAAATCAGCAAAATACAAGTGGCGAAATCAGCGAGTTGTCAGCGAGCGAACTAAATTAAGCAGAATCTTATTGGATAAA